TGTATTTGTATGCCAACAACATACATGGTTATTACCAGCGCATCACTTCGGTCTTGTAAAACTCCATACGAATTTTTTTTCCGAAAATCCAAACCATTCTAAGTATGACGCAACGCAAGTATCAGACTCCGATTGTCCTACATCGTAATTCTGGCAAATGCGTGCATCTCAACTTTATCTGCGCCTTACCCTTCTGGATCTTTCAATGCATTGATTACTACCTATTAACGTTCTGATCTCAGCTCGAGGTGAGGCTCCCGAGCTTCGAGAATTGGATGATCTCGCTGAACCGTCCTTGGTTGGTAAGGTTGTTGATTGCATGCTGGTTCGTTTCTCTAGTTTTAGCCACAAACTCTTGCGGATGACCTCGTTAAATTAAAAATTCCACCTCTTTCTTCAAGTTTTTGTAATCATCTGTGTTGTGTCCTACCAACCTATGATATCGATAGTACTTTCTTTGGTTATTCCCTACTGGATCCTTTTTCTGAGGTGGGGGTTTACGGAATGCTTCTTTTTCTCCTGTTTGTAAGAAGACTTCTTCCAAGGTAGTATTTAATGGGTGATATTCATGAAACTTATCCGGATAAGGTTTATGACGTTCTCTATCCCTCCTGTCCTTTCTCTTTTCATGATTGAATACTTTATCCACTTTTTCTCCTTTGTTGGGAGTAGGAAATGTGGATTCACCTTGGCTTCCTCCGCACTTATATGTTTTTCTGCTCGATTAAGGAACTCGTGATATGTTCAAGGTCCATTTTCATGTACAGACCACCAAAACCTGATTCTAGGCCTTAGCCCATAAAGAACTGCCATGAGTGTGGCATCATTAGAGATTTTTTCAGCCTCCATGGACTGTTTGTTAAACCTATTGCGGTAACTTTTAACTGATTTGCTCTTTCTTTGCTTAATGCTCACCAAAAGCTCTTTGGGCGTAGTTCTTGCTTTGGAACCCATGAATTGGGCTAGAAACGCTGTGGCGAGGTCGTTCCAGTTTCTTATGGACTTCTGATGTAGCCTCCTGAACCATCTTTGAGCTTTATTTCCCAACGTTAATGGAAAGGCACGACACATAATGGAATCACCTGCTCCATGTAGCTCCATCCAAAAAGTGTACTTGTCTAGGTGACTAAAAGAAATCTCCTTCCCCCTCGTACCAGTCACCAGTGGCATTTTCAATTTTTTAGGCACAAGCCCAGCAAGAATATCTTCAGTGAAAGGGGAATGACGTTAAGTGAGATATTCCTCCATGCTTCATTTGTTTTTGGCTTCCAAATCAACAATGCTCATTTTTAAGGCACTGATTTCCGGTTCTGCATGTTCTAACGACCGTTTTCACATGGGGCTCAGCATGTTCACTCTGAGGTATTAGTGAGCGTTGAGATCCCAATCTATCAAATACACTACTAGCTTTCTTAGTAACTAGCTCTGCTGTTGGTTCCTCTCTTGAAAAGTGGAGAGCCCTCTGGTAGGAGGTCGTCTGGTTAGTTCCCAGTGTACCTCAATATCAAGTGGAGGAACGTGAGTTTGGTTTTGCTCCAATCTGTTGACTGCGTTTGTTAACCTTTCAATGACTTCTCTCATGATGGTCATTTGATGGTCGCTAGCTTCATTTTGATATCGTCCCTTCCAATATTTTGTGGAATATTAGTTTGTTCAAGATGAGTGTGAGATTGATTCCTTGATGCTGAAATATCATCCATGACAGTATTTTGTCGTGAGTTTTATGGAGAGATATGGCTACTTATACAAGTTAGAGCACTTCTTCTAGTGCCAAACTGTTGACGTTGAAAATTGTATAAACAAAATTTAAGCCGACTTCAAGTGTAAATAAGGGTTTTTATTGATAATTACTTACAAATTACAAGTGTTTTTATCAAATGAGATATTTGAGATATGAAGTTGTTAGGTTTCTTCTCCTTCCTTTACCTAAAGATACCATCTTCCTTTTATATGAAAGGATAAGCCTATATTTTTCATATTCTTGTTTTGTCAACAACAATACCAGCTGGAAACTTGTGCCATGGCTTAATTCCCGATTGATTGCTGTCAAATCAACATACAATACTGAGCTGGAAGGTACACCAATGGCATATCCTGATTGGTTGCTGAGGTTGGCTCCATCAGGTTATCATGAAGCCACTTTAAATGGGGTCTCTAATAATTAATGAACTGATTAGAGAATGAAGCTATAACGTATGATTGGTGGAATTGGTGGGTGCTGACGTAAATCATTTCCAATGTCATTAATTGATTGAATGTTTTGACAATGTGTAAGGAATCCATAATCATTATGTCTCATCAAACCACGACGGTCATAAGTACGAGCCGACCTTACAGATTTGACCTTAATTTAGCATGAGCTAAGTGTATATAACAAACTGACTTAATCAGGTCACAGATCGAATGTCATAAATATATATATTAATCTTCAAAATTGTGGGTCAATTAATTTCCACTAAATTATATAGGCCTACAATAGCATGCTAAACTATCCTCATTTTAAATTACCCCAGATTTAGGGTTTCAAAATCACTGGTATCATCAGTTCCATCAAAAAGTTCATGTAAAAATAATGAAGGGAGGAAGCTTGTGACACCCCGAACTTAGGCTTCAAGTGTCACGTAGTAACGTAATAACTTCAGCCTTCGTTACATGTTAAAACTCTTAAATAAAATGTAATGCATACTGGAAACCTATTTTTAATTTATAGTAAAATACCTCTCTAAAGTTTAATGGCCAGCAGGAGTGCATGCCGACTTGAAATTATTCTATACATATGCGGAATTGGTGCTGTCATGGCTAGTTTGGGCAATCGGTTCGAACATTT